ACTCACTCACACACACACACACACACACACACACACACACAGAGACACACAGAGACACACACACACAGCGTAACATGTTGGCATGCATGTAATTCAATGATTCAGTCATTACACATAATAATATTGTGTATATGAAAGCGTAGCGGGTTTGAACACACAGCGGTCGCGTGGCTTCTCGGCGGTACTGTGTTGTTCCTGCACTGAGCAGCAGCACGCATCTGTAATGCTGACTCTTCGCTGCTGAGTATACTGTAATAGTGTATAATCGACGGATGCTCGAGGAAATATCTGCTTATTAAGATCGCGTGTGGGATTTAAGCGCGCATAACGGAATGAATGAGCCGCGTCTGATAATCGCATCCCTGACGTCACCCGCATCGCACCGTTTATCGCTATTAATACACGACTCACCCGGTAACTTCAGAGCGCGAGACAGAGACAGAGACGCAGCCATTGCGCGCGATGCCATCCGCGACGCGACGCGTGTGCCGCTACAGCGCTCGAGGGGTGCATCATGGGTAATGGAGTCTTTCGCACAACCTCCCAATGTGAAACAAAGTAACATCCAAACAAAGGGCTTCATATCCGCTGCGGTGACTACATTAGCATTATACTCTCATGTTGTGACGTTTTAATAATGTCATATTTTAACAGGCAAAATCGCAAACGAAAGCATTGCTTTCATATATATTTAATTAGATTAAAATATTAGCATGCTCACTAGCAGTGTTGGGGAGACAGATCTTCTTTATGCACCAAGAGCTTGTAGCACTCCAAAGAGAAAGAACAACTGAAATCACATCATGTGACCCCTTTAACACATGCAGTCTGAGCCGGAAAGAGAAGCGATTCGTTCTTCTCTCGAGTCTTTCGAATCATTCGTTATTTTGTCACGTGACGTGACCGCATTGGAGAGAGAAATTAGTTCATTTACAAGCTTCCTTACAAACGGGTGCATAGTTATTATTATTATCATCATTATTATAATTATTATTTACTCTTACAGTTACGTGATGCGTTTCTGCTCTCAGATTGTAGCTTTTTACTTCTTACAGTTTATAAATGTGTGAATTTCTGTCATGATGGTTATTTTCCATAACACTGAGTGTTGTAATAAAGGTAATAAAGAGTTATTATTATTATTAAGTCTCTTTCCGGCTCAGACTGCATAGGGTAAGCGCATGAGGCTGTCACGTGATGAACGAACGACTCAAACCCAAAGACTCGAAACCGGTGAACTACTTGAACATTAAATTCAAGGCATTAATGGATTGTAGCTTTTTACTTCTTCTTACAGTTTATAAATGTGTGAGTTTCTGTCGTGATGGTTATTTTCCATAACACTGAGTGTTGTAGCAAAGGTAATAAAGAGTTATTATTATTATTAAGTCTCTTTCCGGCTCAGACTGCATAGGGTAAGCGCATGAGGCTGTCACGTGATGAACGAACGACTCAAACCCAAAGACTCGAAACCGGTGAACTACTTGAACATTCAATTCAAGGCATTAATGTTTTCCTACAAAACCAGCACTGGCTCTGCACCTCTTTATCTAAACTCATTACTTCAGAGTTATGTGCCTCTAGAAGCTTGCGTTCTGCAAGTGAACGGCGCTTTATTGTCTCAAAGAGACACAATCACTTTCACAGACTTCTACATTAACTGTTCCCTCCTGGTGGAATGACCTGCCCAACTCAGTCCCAGCAGCTGAGTGCTTACCCATCTTCAAGAGACCACTAAAACACATCTGTTCCACCTTTACTTGACCCTCTAACTCTAACACTTTCTATTCTATTTTAATTCTACTTTATCTATATTTATCTGATCAACAAAAAACTAACAAACACTAGCTTTCTATTTTTTCTATTCTATCTACTTGTTTTTCTTCGTGTGTATGTATGTATGTATGTATGTATATACACCTTGCTAGTGTACTGTGTTAGGCTAACCGAGACTTGTCATATGCACTTATATATTGTTGCTCTTTTGTTAGTTTTGACTGCTTCTATTGTCCTCATTTGTAAGTCGCTTTGGATAAAAGTGTCTGCTAAATGACTAAATAAATAAAATAAATAAACTACTTGACTAATTCCAGGACAGAACCTATAGGATGCTGCGCATGCGCGACTGAACGAATCCCTCCCCGAGACGACTCGTTCTTCCCGAGTCACATTAAAGATTCGTTCAAAACAAACGAATCGTTCAAGAATGACCCGACACTATGGGTAGAATACGTGTATCATTCGTTTTTTTATTTAATATTGAAAGTAAAAAAATTAGAAAACTGCTGCTTTTTCGTTTTTTTTGGTTCTTGGGTGGAAAAATGAATAAACAGCTTGAATATTGGATTTCTACACGTGGGCGGGAATTAAACGCCCCTTTCTGCTGATTGGTCAGCCGAAGATCAAACAGTGCCGTCATCAGTTCTTCTGCAGTACCATGCAGCAGAATAATAGTCCTCCGCTGCTGCAGGTGTACGGATTAATAACACATTTGATCAGTTTCATATTTGTCTCATCAAACAGGCTAATGAATAGCTGGACACAACTCATACCGGGGCAGAGTCTAGACAGTTCTTTCTTCTGTGTAGACCAGTGGTTCTTAAAGTGATAGGGGGTCCGAGAAATAATTAGCTATAGCCTAAAGTATTTCCAGACTGCAATGTGTGTTTTTTGCAGCGCCTCTGAAGATCACCAAAACCATCCAGGTGAGCGGATGAGCGGCGGTTGTTACAACTGGAGATATTGCTCAGCATCACATGATGACTGTGTGTGTGTGTGTGTGTGTGTGTGTGTGTGCGCGCGCAGCAGAGGCCTGTGGGAATGACCAGCGGGATCCGCTTCAGCGTTCCCCGTGCCGCCGCTCCGGTGAGACTCACACATCAGTCACCACACCATTCCTCAGAAACACTTTCATAACCCGTATCGCTTTGAGATGACACTGAATTCATCCATTAGTCTGTTTTAATGAGCGTACAGAATTAAGCATCACATAAAGTCTGACGGTCACCTGGGTGTCTCTCCTTGTAGGTTTCACCTGCTGCTGATGATGATGATGATGATGATGATGAAGATGGAGCTGTGATACCCAACAAACAGATGAAGATCACTACAGCTAACAACCTGCAGACACGAGTGAGACTCACACACACAAACTCACACACACACTCTCCCACTCACGCTCACACGCACTCTCACACACAAACTCACACACACACTCTCACACTCACGCGCACACACACAAACTCACACACACACTCTCACACTCACGCGCACACACACAAACTCACACACACACTCTCACACTCACGCGCACACACACGAACTCACACGCACTCTCACACACACGCTCACGCACACACACGAACTCTCACACACACACTCATGCTCACACACGAACTCTCACACACACACTCATGCTCACACACGAACTCTCACACACACACTCATGCTCACACACGAACTCTCACACACACACGCCTTCACACACACACACGAACTCTCACACACACACACGCCACGCACTCTCACACGCATTCACACACACACGCACACACACGCTCACGCACACACACGCTCACGCACACACACGCACTCTCGCACTCTCACAAGCACACACACACTCACACACGCACACTCACGCACACGCACACTCACGCGCACGCACGCACACTCACACACGCACACTCACGCACGCTCACGCACACACACTCACGCACGAACACACACTCACGCACACTCACACTCACACACACACACTCACGCAC